GGTCTATTTTCACTAGAGTTACATTTTGCTAAACCTAAATGTCTTTAATACTGCTTTCAGGTAATGTATCTCCTTAGCTGCAAACTATTACCAAATTAATCTCTAAGAGACACAACACACCACATATGCACAAAGAAAAATGTGGGCTTTCTACCTCATGAAGCGTGAGATGTTTCCCGTCCTTTCTCTTGGAGTCAAATCTGCCATATATTGCACTATATTTTCGAATTTCCTCCTCTTTGTGTGGATCATCATCACTCATCTCAAAGATGTGACCAATCATTTTGGCCAACTTCTTGTTGGTTTTTAGCAGCTCTTTCACTTCGTTTAAGTCACTTTTCGGCAGCGTGGGGGCCATTCGTTCCACACACTCGGCTACAGAGAGCGCGGCAGCAGCATCCAGCGCCTCGCTACTTTCTTTTGGGGAAGCTGGAGAGCCAAGGTCAGCTGGGGAGAGGCTGTGCTCGCTCTCAGTGGCATGGTGGCCTTGCCAGAGTCGGGACTCACTGATACTCTGCAGCGCTAAGCTCCCCACCACGTCTGATTTCCCCTGTCCCAAGCTCTGCACACAGGTGGTGGCAGCACACTTGGGGATTTTTAAATGAGGTTCCCGGGCATTGCTGTTTCTTTCATAACTGCTGCAGGATATTCCCAGCCAGGTTGGTGATCCCTCTGGTAATTTATAGATGGGTATGCTACTGACAGGCAGGGACGTCAGCGGCTGATTGAAAAGGCCAGGGTTTGTAACCCAGTCTCTCAAAGCCTTCTGTAGCCTCCTAACGTGAAGGGGCTTGCTAGCCATGCCCACGAGTGCCATGATTTCCAAGAATTCCTCTTCTCCAGCTTCACAGAGTTGCTGGACATCATCACCACCTTGTTGGATAAAGGCATCGAAATAAGAAAGCAGATTGGCTTTTTGTAATATTCTGTACAGCTGCAACTCCCCCAGGGTCCTGGGTAGGGCCGCGGCCATTACTGTGGATGGGCTTAACCTGCAAAAAGAAGAGGAAATACTCATCACACTTGCTCCAAACTTCTTAAGCCTATCTGTTAGACACTATAGGATTTAAGAGTTCAGTATGGGAAGAATAGAAAACAAGCAGCATTTGCATAGCAACTGACTGTTAAGGAAGCATTCTCTCTATGCCTAAGTTATCTTATTTTACTCTCCTATCAACCTTAATGGTCAATATTCAGTAATAGTTTCCATTTTAAAGAAAAAATTATAAAGGCTCAAAGAATATAAATAATTTGCCTGAGATCTCACAAATAGCTAAGCAGAAGTCTAGGGACTGAAACCAAGGCTCACAGGGCTCTATATCCCATATTTTTGACTATTCACTTTGCTGCTTCCATGGTGTGGACACAGAGGCAAAGTGAAGGATAATCAAATTCAGAAGGGGGTAAGAAGTATACTATGCTACCATGCACTGAATACTTATTTTGTGTCACACTGTATGACAAACACTTTATATTATGTCTAATCCTCACAACAGCCCTGTGAGATAGGTAGAGTTAATTCCCATTTTATAAAAAAAAAGTAGCAAGATTAGTCTGGCAGGCAGAGGATGAGAGATTTCAGTATGAACTGGAGTTGATAAGATAGAAGGTGGTATATTTAGGAACTGAGAAAAAAGAGGCAGGAAAAATTCAGACAAGACTTGGTGATCACTTAGATGTAAGTGATGAAAAGGAGAGGAAATGTCTAGAACTGCAACAGGCATTCGGGATACAGAAAATCAGGGATGATGGAATTCCCTTTCAAACACATGGCACCTGAACATGGCACAAGGTAGAATGCTTAAGTAGAACTGTCCTGTGTGCAAAATAACAGACTGGAGCCTAAGTGTGTCTCAGGGTTAGAGACACAGGATGAAGCCAAGGAGGGTGGAAGATCCCTCCAAAGAAGCAGCAGAGAGCCTAAGACAGAGACAAGGAACCAATACTTTTAGAGCTCAAGCGAGGCAGAGAAGTCTGCCTTTAAAGAGACAGAACAAGACCCAGCAAAGCACTGCTTGACCTCTTAGCAGCCTTTAAAAGTTATTCACAGTTGCCTGGAGACCTTCCACAGGCAAAGAGGAGTTGGCCAAGTACTTCCATTTAAGAGAAACAAACTTGTAATCAATGCACCTTTAGGATTAAAAGGACCCTATAGCCCTCTAAGGGCAAAAATTATAGTAGGCTAAAAGAATACATACACCAAAGGAAAGTGAAAGCTCCACTCTCAACTCAGAAAGTAAGGAGCAATTGTTAACTGGGAGATAAGACAAGCAGAGGAATATTAGGAACACCAGATCACCACATTTGGGACTTCTGCTTTATGCCATCAACCAGAATTCTACCCAGAATTCCAGTTTCAGTCATCCCATCCAAGGAGAATGCATTTCCCTACCACCTAAGGACTGACTCCTGGGAAGCCCCCATCTCCTGGAACCTCTGTGTCATCCACAATCTGCTCTAATCAATTACTGACCTCCTCAAATTTTATGGTTCTTTATTTTATAAGGGCATTGCCAGGTGACCTGATGACTTCCCAAGATACATAAAAAAAGACTGCATCTGAGCCCCACTAAATGTCTGCTGACAGCCAAGAAATCATGTGGGGTGCTTCTGAAAAAATATAATTTCCTAGGTCCTTGGGTTGCATCTCAGCAGACTCTCATGATTTGGCAAATCTGGCAAACTACACTAGAGGATCCCTATTTAGTGCACTCTCTGGGCACCATGAACTCCTACAGGTTTTGAGACCACCGTCATGTTCATGCCACCTCAGTTCTCTGGAAAAAACATTCCTGCATCTTCTGAATCACCCATAGGAGGATCTGCTTTGTCCTCCCACTCCAGGGGAGACTTTTTGGGGAGAGAATCTATCATCCAGCTGGACACTAACCCACAAAAACAAGCTCTTGGGAGTTACAGACACAAGTTAAAGTCTGTATTGAACAACATTATACCAAATGGAAGGGTTTCTAGAAAGTGTCTGAGGTAGAGGAAAGGAAACCTACTTTCCCTTCATACACCTAATGCAATAGCTCCACGGGCTTTCAACTCAAGAGGATACACACAAAAAAATATCTATACACACGCATAAATATATATGTATGCACATACACACACAAAATCATTTTTATAAGAGGACTGTAACCTTGCAAGATTTATGGTGTCATCAATTATCTCACCATAAATACTCCCCCAAATTATGGAATAAAGTAAAAATTACATGAGAAAATCTAGAACAGATTTCTTAAATCTTTTTATGAGCAACAAGAGAACAAAGAATATATGATGGACAAATGTAAAAGAGAAACTAAAGGAGAACTAAAAACCCAAACTTAGGTTTTATTCTTCTGAGATAAGCCAAAGATTTTAGAAAATATTAATTTTCAACTTTTATCCTTTCTCATCTTTACCCAGAAAGAAAGGAAACCCACTAGTTCCTAAGAGAAATCCCTTATGTTCCGGTAAGAAAGTAGTTATGATTATAATATCCCCATAAGGACTGATAGGACCCAGTGTACATTTCCAAAGTCAAGACACCAGATGAAAGATAAATAAGTGAACTATTTAGACTCCCAGGAGGCTTTCTAAAGGCCCACACTTACTGCTGGGAAAGGAGTTTTCTCCCTAAGCTTTTTGCTTTAAGAGAATGTTTCAGTTTCCTACAAAGCCTGTTGGGATAATTTAAACAACCACCACTTCATACATTAACTTGATTTGATTTAAAAGAAAATTTTTATGAGATTTTCTGTTTTTACAAACCCTGTATCTATTCGTGTTTCGACATGCAGGTCAAATAAATCAAAAGAAAACTTCATCTCTCCAATCTAAAGTAAACATGAAAGGATCCTAACACAATGCTATATAATATAGGCAGCTGCGAGTAGAGTAAATCTACTCAGCTGCAAACTCCAGTTACCTCGCCTGTTCAAGAGATGCTGGAACAATCATGCTGAGTGTGACCTTTTCATAAATTCCACAATTAAGAGAAACCGGTTACCCATTTTTTAACTTCACTCAAAAGCTAAACCAAGGGCCTATATACAGCAAACCTCCACTTGCACCAGCTTAAATGTTCCTCAGCCTGGTCAGCTCCAGAGGAAGAGGAATTAAACAATGGACTCATTTAAGGCCATTTGTTGTTGTTTGTTATTCAATGATCTATTTTAAATGGTAATGATTTGTTCCTGAAGCTTTTAAAAACAAACTCACTTTGGCTCCTTATGGGGTAGGATCAGTCATCTGCCAGATTTAAACTATGCTAAGTGAAATAAGGAGCTGGTTTGGCTCAGAAAACTTGACTGGTCAACTCCAGCTTTGTCCTCGAACCACAACACAGCACTTAACATGAATATGGGAAACAAAACTTCTCTGACTTTCTCCAAGCTGGGACGTGGGGATTTAGAGTAAGGCAGAGTCTTTAATGGTCACAAGGGAAAAGAAGAACTATTCCTTCAAACCTGCCTCAATCTGTTCCAAGAAGCTTCAGCCTGCCTTCTGTCCTGACTCCTCGATCAAAACTCTCGAGGAACTCCTGAGTGATCACCAGCTTTTCTCTTTAACCTCTCTGCAGCTTGACATCACTCCTTGAAACACTCTTCACCTGACTTTTTGCTATATTATGTTGCCTTCCCTTACTCTATTGTAAGTGCAGGAATTTTCCAACGTTTTATATTAGATCCCATTTCTACTGTCTTTCCATATTCTCCCATGATGATCTCGTCCACTCCCAGGCTTCAATATCACCTATAGCAGACTGACCTCCAAACTGCTATCTGTAGCTTGGACCAGTGGTTCGTGGAGTTCCTGCAAAGTGTTCTCAAATCCAAACATACACCAAGCACTGTCTCACACATAGGCATCTACTTTGCAAATAAAAGTAAATAAATACTTTGCGATTTAATACAAACTCATTTAAAAGTGTAACTGAATTCACAGTTGTTGCCATTATATCAACAAACACTAAGCAAAATTAATGAGTACTTGTTTTTTTTTTTTTTTAGTTTAAAAAGTGATCTTCATACCCGAAAAGTTTGAGAACCCAAACTTTTTCTGATAATTCAGCATTTCAACTACCATGTGGAGATTGTCAAACATCTCAAATTTGGTAAGTCCAAAAGCAAGTGTGTTATCTCATTTTCCTCCCTTCTTCCAGATTCCCAAATCTACTCTTCCCAACTCTCATTTCTTTTAGTTGCACCACTACTCTTCCAGTTTCCTGGATTAATAAAAGTAGAGATTCCTTTTTTTTTCTAATTTTATTGAGGTATAGTTGATGTACAATATTATATAAGTTTCAGGTGTACAACATAATGATTCACAATTTTTAAAGGTCATATTCCATTTATAGTCATTATAAAATATTGGCTATATTCCCTGTGCTGTACAATATATCCTTGTAGCTTATTTATTTTATACATAGTAGTTTGTACCTCTTAATCCCCTTCCCCTTCCCCACTGGTAATTACTTGTTTGTTCTATATCTGTGAGTCTGTTTCTTTTTTGTCATATTCACTAGTTTTATTTTTAAGATTCCACATATAAGTGATATTAATCAGTGTCTTTCTCTGACTTATTTCACTTAGCAAAATACCCTCCAATTCCATCCATGTTGTTGCAAATAGCAGAATTTCATTCTTTTTTATGGCTGAGTAATATTCCATTGCATGTATATACCATATTTTCTTTATCCGTTCATGTTTCTGTTTTCCTCTTCCTTCCTCCAATCTACATGTCCTTAGGCCACATCACCACCCTTTTTCTTTCTCTGCCTCAAAAGCACCTAATTCTAATTTTCCCCTTGCTTCTTGCCCCAACTTTGAAAACAGCTACCTCACCTTCAATACTTCCCATACTGCAATGCCAACTTTATCTTCCTAAAGTACAGGTGTGGCTCTTTACTCACCTATGCAAATCTCCCCACTTCATGGAGAAAAAAATCCAAACTACTCATATAGGCATCCCAGACCTGTCCAGCCTCCTCTGTGGTCCTTAACCTGCCCCTATGCTCATGCCAAACACTGGACTTTCCTCAAATGGTTCTTCACAGAGAAACTGTTAAGAATTAAGATACAGACGAGTAAACACACACTTAACCACTCTGATAAATGCTATGCCAAATGTTATCTTCAATACATAAGGAGCCATGGAACAGAGAAGCAGACTGCCATGGTCCTGTAGAACAGGTTACCTTAGGCTACAGGCTCCTTGATGGTAGGGACTAGTTCTCATTCATCTTTTATCCCCCTCTACTCCCAGCAAAGCGTTCAAGGTAGAACAACATCTCTATAAAGGCTTCTGTTGAATGAAACCCAACATTTGAGTCAGAATCTGATCAGCAGCCTCCTTTTATATTCCAAAAGGAATAACCTCTGTGTAAATTAGGGTCCAATCTAACAAAAGCACATCCTGCTACTTTACCTACAATCTTTTTCATTCTCTCATCCTCAATACTTCCCCTTTTTTATAGCCTGTGTGGTGGATTCCCATAAGATGGCCGGATGCTCTCCCTTTACAGGAACACACGTGGTTGCAGCGACAACAGACATCATGTTAGCCCAGCCCCAAAAGCAGCCTTTTAAGTCAATTTCAGACACGAGAGATCCCAGGTCTCTTTCCTCTTGGTTTCAACGAATTAAAATGTTATCCCCTAATAAACATCAATCCTATAAATGATCATTAGACTCAAATGCATTCATGAACACTACACTTGAATCTTCCTCTTCGTGATGCAGGAAATATATATGAATACACACACTTTTATGAAGTCCATGGCATTCCAAAGAAGAGAGACTCTGCCAGGAGTGGGGAGAAACCAAGGGAAAAATCCTAGTAAAATCTGACTTATTTATGCAGAGGACTGTAAATTCCTGCCTCCCAACACAGCCTGAAATTTTTACTTTAAAATGATCTAAGTTAACAGCAAGCTCTTAACAGACTTCTAAAAAAATGTGAAAAAACTTGGGAAGCGTTAGCTCACGAGTCACTTACAGATTAAGGTGAATTAGTTCCACCAGACTGTTTTCCTCTAACACCTAGATGAGATTCAGTACACGCTAAGGGAATGAAAGCTAGAGATGGGAAACGGCAAGGAAGGAGATAGGAAATCTGAGGCGAGTGACCGCGTTTAAAGCCTCGGAAGTATTGCCAAGGTTGGGAGAATGTAGCCTGAAGGTATAGGAGCCTAGGGAAAGGGTACAATGGGTACACTACAGGTTGAGACTGGAAAGGTTTATGACAAGCCAGAATTTGGCTTAGGGAAGGATAAGCCTTAAGCCTAGGAAATGAATTCTTCTCATTTTTGTCCCAGTCCTAGAACTCAACCTAAAATACTTAAATGTAGTTTAGTTACATGATGGGTTATTTAAGATAGCAGGTCGACCCAGGTCCTCACTCCTGTGTATGTGTTTTAAGTACCAAACAATTTAACTAGGCCTATTTATTAATAAGCATGCAGGGATATATCCTAAGTCAAGATATTTTTGGATCTTATTACTGTAATAGCTATGAATTAAACATATAGCTTCTAATGAATTAACAGTAATTTAGGAAACTTAAAATGTTCTCTCCTACTGATTTTTTCTGAATTCTGAATGAAGCTGGAAAAAATTTCTTATAGACCTCAAAATTTTAATTAAAGTTTCAGTGTATAACCCTAAATTTATCAAAGTTAGAAAAAAATCAGATTTATTTTGCAATTAAACAATAACTTAGCTGTGATACCAACAGGTAAACACTAGTATTTCATATAATATGGCTGGAAATTCTTCAATCAACTAACAGTCAAGTTACTCAACATACATTAAGTGCCATTTGAGCATTTAGTATGCACACAGTACATATAAATTTTTTCATTTTTTTCCCAGAAATTTATCTTTAAAAATTATTAAATTAACATACTGTACAAGTTAAGGTGCAACTCTCTAAATACAATGTATTGAGAAATGACAAAACTATTTGAAAGCTTAATGGTATGTTTTAGCTGTGAGAATTCTGACGAGGATTGCTACTTTTTCCTCCAAAATCAACTTCTCTAATTCCCACTTGTTCCATTGTTAAGTTTAAGGGAGTATATTCTACTACTGCACTAGTTTTTGAAAATGTCAGATCAAAAAGGAAATTTGCATTTAATATAAAAACTGTACTGTTTTTCATTCTACTAAAAAGAATGAACGAAGCAGTTAAAATAAAACTAAATCCAAAGCAAAGGGGCTAGGAACCTTGTATTATGCTTAAGTGGGCATTATTTATTCCTTATTATTTTTAATAAACTCCACATGAAATATGCATACACAAGATGATTATACAAGCAAGATCTTAACCTGTTCAAAACATATTAAAAAATGGTCATTTCCATGAAAGTAACATAAAATATATCATGCTTCTGTGGTATCCAGAATACAGCTTCACACTTAAAGGTAAATTGTACAAAGCTTTTATTTCCAATAATGCACATGAGTAGCACCAACAAAAACAACCTGACTTACCATAATGGAATAGATGAACCCCAAGTCTTAGGACAGAGTCTAGATCAACAGATACAAAAACCTGACATACTTCTGTTTCCATGCAACCATCTTTTACTTTCAATTTTTAAAGTTCATGCAATAAATTCTTCAAAGGTCTCCCCCACTTTGTCATACATTATAATTTCTTTCAAAGCAGCCACGGTACAAACACCCAAAATCTTTAATAAGAAATCAATATGCTCTTAATATGTGATTAAAAGAAAATATCTAATACTTTAACTGATTCTCCAAATAGCAACAAGGAGAATGAAAATATATTAACTTTTCTACAGGGCAATGGATATTTACTAGTCATCAAAAAAGAAAAATTTTTAATTAATTTAGCTGAGATTATTCAATTTTATTAATAATTCTGAAACAAGACAAGATGTATTCACCAGATATATCAAATTATTTATTAGCTATATAAGCTCACTAAATTTCCTTGTATCAGCTATAGTATTCCTAAGGATTTCTGTCATGTTCATTACATCCACAATTAGCAGGAAGAATGAAATAAAAATCTACACTGCCTCCATGTTTTTATTATTATTATTGATTTATTCACATATAATAGGAAATCACCAGAGCCAAGGAAAACGAAATTTTTCCAACACCAGGATGGCATATTAACTTTTGTGCAAGATGTTAAAAATAGTAAAATTAAAACAAGAAAGCTTCCAATGGTTCCTTAACATTTTCTTTCAAGACTTGATTTTCCAATAACTAATAGTCAAACAGGAATAAAGAAAGCTGACCTTGCCAGACATCTATAAACTCTCAAGAGAACACTTACATGCAAGGTAATACCTATAAGGACAACATAATTTTTAAAACTTAACGAAAATACTAAATGTTTCAAATGCTGGAAAATGGAGGAAAAAAGGATATCCCCTGAATCTAAGCCACTTTTACTGGCACTTAGACTAGACTAGAGGCAGCTTTTTAGGTCTTCTGGAAAATATCAGTCCCCACCCGAAATAGAGAAAGTAAATCCTCTGCATCCTTTCTCCCAATATTCCTTCTTAAAACCCACACATAAATCAGGACGTGTCATAATCTGTTATGTTTTAGAGGGGAAATTTTTCAAAAAAGTGAAAATCTAAGAAGGTATTTCATTGCGTGCGCACTTCTCTAACAAAACAGCCTAGCATTTCCTACGTGACTAATCTTTTTAAAATTCAGTTCCTATGCAATCTAATATTATCTATTAAAACTGCCAAAATATTTTTAAACAAGATCCGAGTATCTCCCTCTCAGCTCTGATCTTTGCACTCCTTAAGTTTGCAGACACGTCACTGGCAAACCAATTGGTAGTGACAGGTTACTCCAAATCAACTCTTTCGGAAGGAAATTTTAAATTGACATCTACCCCCAAATTTTCCATGCCTCCCGGATCTCACGTAGTGAGGAATTAAGTATATGCAAGTCAAGGATTCCTCCTGATCACCTGCTGCAAAACGTGGTCTGCGGAACCTATAAATGCAAATATATTCCAATTCAATTATCCTTTCCCCCAAGATCTTACAACAATTAGGCTCACTCGAAGTGTCGTTTCATATCTTGCGCCTTGTGAACCCTGACAATGCAGCCCATAAGCATTTGATTGCACTTGCAACGTTTCTCCATGAATAAGGTCACAGACTACTGCATCCAAAGCTTGTATGTGCCACATGTGTTTGCAAATCCCACACTCGGCCTTAACGAGCACGAGTCTCTCGCTTCCATCGCACCTCAGTGCCAAGTTTCTGTAAGCCACTTCCAAACAAAACTCTCCTTCCGCTTTCCAAAAGAAAACTACATTCCAAAGGAGAGGATACCCAGGACGAAAATTAAGGCTCTAAGTGCAACACTCTTACAAAGTAAACAAACCAACAAAAAGATTCTGCCCCTGCGGAAGGTGGCTGCAAAACTCTGGGGCCGGCGCGCGCACCCACCGCGCACCACAGACCACGCAACCCACCACCGCTCCGCGCTCCGCGTCCCGCGCGACGGCCCCAGCCAGGTCAGGAGAATGGACGCTGCGCCCCCGGCTTTCTGGGAGGAGAATGCACAGGTCGGCCCCGCTGACTCGCTCGCCCTCTTCTCGCTGCCCCTGCGCACCGAATTTCTCCGGGAATCGCCCACACGAGCCCGATGCCGCCCTCTCCTTCCGGCGGCGGCCGCGCGGGGCCAGCTGCCCTGGACGCCCGCCTCCCCAGGTGCCGGCGCGGCCCGGAGACTCCGCCGCTCCAAGTTCGCCCGCGGTCGCACGAGCTTGAACGCATCCCGCAGTTGGCGGACAGCCAGTTGGTACGTACTAGGCCAGCGGCTGCAGCAGTCTTGGCGCGCTCTCCCCCAGGACGCCTTAGCAACTCCGAAGTGACGGCCCCCGGCTCTCTCTCATTCGGCTGCTGCGGCCGGGACGCCCCCGCTCCCATCGATGGGGGAAGGAAAGGTGGTGGGCGCTCTCTCCCTGCTCCCCCCACCCCCAGCTAGGGCCCGCCACTCCTTCCCGCCCGCCAGCCCCGACGGCGCTCGCTCGGCCGCGGTGGCGGTGGCGGCGGCTCCTCCCGGCGCGGGCGGCGGCGGCACCTCCCCCGCCGCGTCCTGCCCCCTGCTCCCCGCCTCCCTTCCCTCCCCGCGCGCGCTGCCCGTCCCCTCCCCCTCCCCCGCCCGCCTCCGCCGCCTCTACCCCCCCACCCCGCCCGCTGTCACATTGGGAGATTCCGCTCTTGGTACATTCGCCGCTCTGGCTCCCGCCCACGCGCGGCCGAGTGACGCAGATCCCGGCGTGGGCAGCCGCTGGGCGGGGGCGGAGGCGGCGGCCGCCGGGGCCCGGGCTCGGCCTCGGCCTCGGCCTCTTCCCGCCGCCCCCTCCGCGGAACCCGGAGGGAGGCCCATTCACTCGGCAGCTGGGAGGAACCAAGTGGGCGCCCGGGAGGGGGCGGCTCCCGCGAATCCTGCTCCCGGCGGGGGGAGGGGGCGGGAAGGAGGAAAACGGGGGTGGCGGGAGGGAGGGAGGGGACGTCGCCTCGGGCCTGCTCTCCAGCTGCCGAGGGAACTGGGAAGGTTTGCAATTTAAAAAAAAAATTTTTTTTTTAAATGTGTGAGGTTCCCAATATAGTGTTTCAAAGAGCACGCCCCGCCAAATCCAACATCCCCCGGGAGGCTGATTTAAAAAAAAAATAGCACGCTCAGCCCACTAATCTGGGCGCCCGTCTCGCCTCTGCTCCCGCCCGAGCCGGCTTGAGGCTGGTGGGCCAGGTGCGCCCCTCCCGGCCGGCCCAGGCATCCTGCGGGAAGTGGGCTGCGACCGCAGGGAGTGGGGGTGGCAGGTGCGCGGCGCTGGGAGGAAAACTGGCAGTTCCAGAGCATCTCAGCCCCGCCCATCTTGCCCCGTGCCCACCACCGTCCTGGCGTAGGGAGGAGGGGAGGAGTGGGAACCCACAAACCCGAAGTGAGGGGTTGACAACCGTCTTGTTTGCTGGGTAACTTAATTCCAACCTTCTCAACCCTCCGGAAAACCTGCTTGTTACTTAACTGGCTAATATTTTCTGTTTCCACGGTGTAAAAATCCGACAGCGCTAGAACAGTCCTGGCGTGTGTTCGAATAGAGTTCCCAAGGCACGCTGTAGAATTTTTGAGTTTGGTTTGCATGAACTTTTTCTAACCAAAGAAAGTATTAAAACACCTCCAAAAATGTACTTAAACGATTGCCAAAAAATTTGGAAATTTGTTTTAGGGTCTATTTTTCCTTTCTTTGCAAAAACGGGAAAAGGGAAGAATTCCTCGAATTTTAGCATTGTGTTCTTGAAGTGTAGAGAGCATCTAGTAAATCTAAAACTACTGCAAATACAGGTAAAATTCCGTTTAAACGTACATATACAAACAGCTTTATAGGAGGCCAGTCCCACATCCTGGCTGGCCTCCCAGAGTGTGCCTACTTTGCTGATGGGGATACAAGGCATTCTTTGAGATGGGAAATTCTTCACACCACATCTTTATGTTGCAGCAATGGATGGGGATGATAACATTGAAAGAAAAAAAACCTTATTAAAGTACTGAATCTTTCTTTTTCTTTTTGCAAAAACATGTTATAGGAATGAGTAATGCCACAATGGAATATATATAATTAAACCTCTTTCTCCAGTATTAGTGAAAGGTTCTGTCTGGAATAGTTGTGTTGATTTTCATATGAATAAGCATGCTTACTTCCTTGAATTTTTTTTCAGCGGAAGAATCACTACTGGAAGCGTATCTTAGCCTAATTGTCTCGGTTTTGCAGCTGTGGACCCTATTCTGCTAAAGAGAAAGTTAACTTCGGTTGTAATAAAATAAAGACAGCTTTTTTGGAAAGATATAGGTTAACAGATTTTCAAATGAACAAATGAAATCTGCAGAATTATTTTCTTCCAGTTCCTCTCTGGAATCCTGATGTTTTGCAAACATTGTTTGTTCTGAACAGCTAGAGAAAGATAATTTTCTTCCATAAAGATGTACAATCAGTGATTCATAAGTCATGAAATGAGTAGTCTTACCTGGACTTTTGAGCCTCCCAGTAAAATTGTTTCCAGAGTTGGAAGAAATGACATTAAATCCTCTTCCCAAACTTGTATCTGTCTGACCAGCACTGAACATAATGCTGAAAAGGAAATGTGTCAGGGCAGATAGTTTTTTTTCTGACTTGTAACTGGTTATTTCTACAGTTAAGCACTGAAATCTCTCCTTGTTTGTTTTCTGAGCACATTTAGGTAGTATATTTTTCCCACATTAAGAATGGCATTTTTGGCCCACTTTGCATTGCCTTAAACACCCATGGTACTGGGGGAAATGGGAGGAAGGAAAATGAAGGAAAGATAAAATTTTAAGCTTTTAGTATCTAATTCTGTATGTCTGTATGACAACAGTGTAGTTAATATGGCTGCTCAAAAAGAGAATGGAGGCATTCACCCGTATCTGAGACAGCTCAGATAAAGAAACATTGATTCTTATTTACCTCCTTACCACTTACTTTCATAGCCAGTGCTACCCCTGAACACCACCTCCTCTGCAACACACACACAGTCTTCTGCCATTCCCAGGCCCTGGTGGTTTGTTAAGGAACAGCATTCCATCCTGTAAGGTAACAGTTATGGTTTCTGATTATTCTATATTCCATTCTATCCTGTAAGTATGTCTTACACTTCCCTTGAATTCAGTAAATTCTTAAAATTCAGTAAAATTCTTTAAAAAAATAATTATTAAAAATACTTCGGTGATTAGTGCATTTGCAAAAATAAGGGGTTTTTGGACAAAAAAAAAAATTTCCACATTGTGAAACTAAAAATAAAGTTTTTAATAAAAAAAAAAATGTAGGGCTTCCCTGGTGGCGCAGTGGTTGAGAGTCCGCCTGCCGATGCAGGGGACACGGTTTCGTGCCCCGGCCCGGGAAGGTACCACATGATGCGGAGCAGCTGGGCCCATGAGCCATGGTTGTACCGCAAAAAAAAAAAAATGTAGAAAGTTGATAGTGGTTCTGACATTAGAGTGAAAGTTTCCCTGAAAGAGCATTAGTTTATTACTTTTAGAAAGATTTCTTTAAAATGCTTCAGTGATTCAAAACAAAAGAACAAATGATTTTAAATGTTCTTAGAGTAGAGAAGGAATAACACTATGGCTTGTAACCTACAAGATCTAAGATATAGTATAATTCTATCCTGTTGTTCTTCTGTTGCCTTAGAACAATTCCATACTTAACGAATTTTCCACTCTATGTGGTGGTGGTCCTAGAGTTAACTGAGTCCTGTGTAATATTCATAATATCAGAAATATAATTTAAATTTCACTTATTTTACAATATGAAATTTAAAGTTTTGGATGTATATGTAGATTAAATAGATTTTTTAGTGTATAGAGATTTGACTATTTTAAAATATAGGGAGATTATAAACAAGTTTCTTAAAGGTATGCTAATAGGAATATATATAACTGATCATTCCAAGAGCCGTGACTTTAAAAACATTTGCTCTTCTAAAAAAATAAACAAATCTTCATACATTGCATTTTATTACAAGACACTATAGAATTTTTTTTTAACATCTTTATTGGAGTATAATTGCTGTACAATGGTATGTTAGTTTCTGCTGTGTAACAAAGTGAATCAGCTATACGTATACATACATCCCCATATCCCCTCCCTCTTGCATCTCCCTGCCACCCTCCCTATCCCATCCCTCTAGGTGGACACAAAGCACCAAGATGATCTCCCTGTGCTATGTGGCTGCTTCCCACTAGCTATCTATTTTACATTTGGTAGTATATATAAGTCCATGCCACTCTCTTGACACTATAGAATTTTAAGAGGTAAAGGATTGTGAAGTTCACCTAGTTCAACCTCCTTCGTATATTCAAAGTATTTTCAAATAATTTTCAGAAATTCAGCATACAACTAATCTAGCTTCCAGTAAGTTGGTTATTTGGAACTTGTATTGCAATCCCTGGTGGGAAAAGAAAGGAAATTGTTATATTCCCAAGATGGACTATAAATCCTTATAAAATGCAAGTGAAAATACACAATTACAGACTTAGTGGGGAGCTAGGTAGGATCTTAGGAATCATCTAATCCAATTGACTTCTACAGATAAGGACATTTATACTATACCTTCCTGATATAAAGAGAAGAAAAATACTAATATAGTATTAGGCAGTAAATACAGCCAAACATTTAGTTGAATGAAGAGTAATTCTGGTTTCAATAACTGCTCCAATATAAAATAAAAATTTCTTAAAAAACTGGCATTCAGGGACAATAATCCTCTCATTTTTCAAATAAAGATTCTTGGAATTTGAGAGAAAAATAAATAATGTTAAATGGTTAAAAAATAATTAATTAAAAAAATAAAAGTTTGTCTTCAAGACAGAAGAGAATGTAAATGGAAACTTTTGAAAAGACTATCTAAAGAGAATTTCTGGACATTTTTTAGGGATAATGCCTTGTTTTTCTTCCTCCTCTATCCTCTCTGGCAGCAGTGGTTACAACTCAGCTACTCTTTCTCTTTTCTTCCCACCTTTTCCCATTTTTCTGGCATTCACTGTGCAGGACCTGTATAGTTAACTGTTCCATGACACTATTTCAGGCCTCAACAACACTAACTACTGTCCACTCATTCCTGGCTGTTACAAACTGAATGTCTGTGTCCCCACCAAATTCATATATTGAAATGCAAACCTCCAATGTGATGCTATTAGAAGTGAGCTGTTGGGAGACAATTAGGTCATGAGGTCGAAGCCCTCATTAATGGGATTAGTGTTCTTATAAGCGAGACCCCACA